AAGTCACATTCTACTTATCATCCAGTCAGACTCATTTTTCATATTATCTCCTCCAAAAAGAAGGGCAGGTCAATAATGCCCAATTATTATGCCCTGGAATAACACCCAATCATTATGCCCTGGGGCAGCAGTCAGGACAACTGCGTCCAATTAAATCTAGGAACTTTACTGTGACATTTTAGGGAAAGTTCAAGGACCTGTGGATCAGGGCAATGAGAAGATCTGGCAAAAATCCCTAACTAGGTGGGATGAATTAGCCCAGGCTGAACTTGACACATTCATTTAAAAACTCTTTAAGTTCCCTAGAAAGCTGTAAAATATGAAGAGATGTTCATTGCTTTCATCATTCTCAAGATACTGGCTTCTCACGGCTGTGGTTAAGGAAATTACATCTGTTGGGCATTTTCTTCATTAAATTTCCTGAGACTCTTGGGACCATGGACACTCAATGTCCTTCACCTACTTCGACTTGGATCTAACTTTATCTTTAAGGCCCGTTAATGGATCGAAATTTCATTTTTGAGTGACATGACTCGTCAACCTACATGCGGGGATTGCTAATGGAAAAGAATTTTCTAAACTCCATGCCAAAGAACATACACCAGCTTTGACTACAACAAGCTATCAGGTTGATGCTTTTAATCTGATAAAACTAGGTATAAATCAAATATTAAGTCAATCAGTAAAGAGGCAGACACTATTATTTATTCTGAGAGGGAGGCAGGCCCCTGGCCATGAAGGGCCTCCCAGGTCATATTAAAAATTCTGTTGCTTTTCCTCAGGATCTGATTTGGATTTTAAGAGAGTACCCCAGCTGCTGGGTTGAGGAAGAATTCAAAGTAATGAAGAGTGGATTGGGGAGACTAAGTAGGGACAACTGTAATATTTGCTCTTTTGAATAGAGAAGAGTTGAATCTGTGGAAGCTTCCATCTATCTATCTATCTATCTATCTATCTATCTATCTATCTATCTATCTATCTGTCTGTCTGTCTGTCTGTCTGTCTGTCTATCTACCTACCTACCTATCCATCCCTCCATCCATCTATCATCTATCCATCCATCTATCCATCATCCATCTAT